TTTTAAGGCAGAGTCTCACTCTGTCCGCCAGGCTGGAGTGCAGTGGCACAATCTCAACTCACTGCAACCTCAGCCTCCCGAGCTCAAGCAATTCTCCTGCCTCAACCTCCAAAGTAGCTGGGATTACAGGCGAGCGCCACCACGCCTGGCTAATTTTTGTATTTTTAGTAGAGACAGGGTTTCAACATGTTGGCCAGGCTGGTCTTGAACTCCTGACATCAGGTGATCCGCCCACCTCTGCCTCCCAGAGTGCTGGGATTACAGGTGTGAGCCACCTCGCCCAGCCACACACAGCTATTTTTTAATTTTTTTGTGCATACAGGGTCCCCCTATCTTGCCCAGCCTGGTGTGGAATTCCTGGGCTCACACAATCCTCCTCAGCCTCCCAAAGTGCTCAGACTAAAGGTGTAAGCCACTATGCCCTGCCCCCACATTAAGCTTAGTTCAACCCCGATATTTCTTTAGGAGCCAGACAGTCTGAGGATATGAAAAGGCAAGAAATTAACTTATTCAACGAATATATATTGAGACTGTACTGTGTGCCACAACTTCTGCTAGGGTCCCACGCTATGATAGGAGGGATCCACCCAGATTTGAGGCTTCACCCACTGTGTGGGCGGCGGTGGGGATGATTCAGTGGAGATCTAGTCTAGCAGGCTGGGACCCTGAGACCAGATTTGAACGTTACCACTGCTATGGTTTTTGGTCAGTTGTTTCGAAAGCCTTGGACAATCAGCCTAGGCTTCCTAGGCCCATCACAGATCCTCCTCTGACAGGTCCCTAGTGGTCGTTGGGGTGTAGGAGCTGCTAACATTAGCCCTTCAATGTGTCCCAGGGGCCAGGAGGCACCTCCTCCTTCATCACAAGGCTATGATATGTTTACATTAACATTCCCCCAGTAGACTGAGATCTCTGATTCCAGTACCTGCACCCAGCGCAGGCCTGGCATTCGGTGGGCGCTCAGTTAATGCCTGGCGAATGAAACCTTGTGCCTCTTCCCTGAAAGCATTCCCTGAGGGCGCACTCGTAAGACGCCAGCTGCAACGGGTCTGGCCCCTTCCCTCCCCGTCGAGTCCGTTTTATCCGCCAATCTTCCTGCGTCCGTCTGCCCGCCAAGGCAAGGCTGTAGTTTCCGATTTGAGGATTCAGGACTGCTCTCGGTCGCGCCCTAAAGCTGCAAAAGACTGGTACCCCTGGGCTCCGGTTGACAGCGACCCCCAGCTGGTGACAGCGGCCCAAGGCGACTAACAGCGGGATTAGAGGAGAAAGACGCTGCCGCCGTTAAAGGGGGTTGGTCCTATCCCTAACTTGGGGGCCCCGCCCCGAGATGCGAGGTCTGGAGAGCGCAGCGTTGCAGCACCCACCTCTGCCAGGGCCGTTTCGGCCGCCCTGCTCCGCTGCCCCGAACACAACCAGCGCCGCCATCACTTGCCTGCGCACGTGGTACTAAAAAGACAGCGCTGGAAGAACGCGGAGAGCGCAGACATTGCGATCGATCGCCGATCGCTCAGCGGGGGGCGGGGATAACCGCTGGGCGGGGCTATACGGAGTTCCACCCCAGCCCAGAATGCCGGGACTCGGGATTCCCTGGTGGTCCCCGACCACGGCAGTTGCCCTCTCCCTGCGACTCAGTCTCCCACTCCTCTCCCCGGCCGTGCACGAGCCTGCCACTCCCAGACCAGAGCTCTCCTATGTGCTAACTCCCTGCATGAGCGTTGCAGGCCGAGTCTTGTGAAGGGGGACACCCACCAGATCTTCCTTCAGACCCCCTGCCAGTCTCCCCCTCCTGGTAAGCAGTGGCGGGTCACCGCCGTGTGGGGCCACGTTCCCTACCTAGGGGGACCCCACTGTCCGGCAGGACAGAACTCAGGGACCACCAGCCCAACTCCAAGTTGAGAGTCTTCGTGCAGGTTTCTGGATCGTCCTTATCACCTTAAAAAAAAATTTTTTTTTTTTTGAGACAGGATCTTGGTCTGTCGCCCAGGCTGGAGTGCAGTGGTGCGATCATTGTTCACAGCAGTCTCAATCTTATGGGCTCAGGCCATCTTCCTGCCTCAGGCCCCTGAGTACCCAGGACCACAAGCGTACGTTCAGTTAAGTTTTTTGTTTTTTGTTTTTAATAGAGATAAGGTTTCACTGTTTTGCCCAGGCTGGTCTTGAACCTCTGGACTCAAGCAATCCTCCCACTTTGGCCTCCCAAAGTGCTGGGATTACAGATGTGAGCCACTGCACCCAGCCCTTATCACCTTTAGAATCCACCGTGTAGGCCGGGCGCGGTGGCTCAAGCCTGTAATCCCAGCACTTTGGGAGGCCGAGACGGGCGGATCACGAGGTCAGGAGATCGAGACCATCCTGGCGAACACGGTGAAACCCTGTCTCTACTGAAAAAATACAAAAAACTAGCCGGGCGAGGTGGCGGGCGCCTGTAGTCCCAGCTACTCGGGAGGCTGAGGCAGGAGAATGGCGTAATCCCGGGAGGTGGAGCTTGCAGTGAGCTGAGATACCGCCACTGCACTCCAGCCTGGGCAACAGAGGGAGACTCCGTCTCAAAAAATAAAAAAAAAGAAAAAGAATCCACCGTGTAGACCCTGTAGAAGGTTCACATGGACGAAACTGCACCTTTGGGGAAAGCCCACAGCCTGAGGGTGCTTTCCTGGGAGGGTGGGCAGTCGAGGACTGTGATGTCTAACCCTTCTGGACCCTGGCCAACCTTTGCCCTGCCCCTCAGGGCTAGTCTTTCTCCTGATCACTAACAGAGCCGAAGAGACCCCAAAGGGAAGACAGCCAGTGTAACGGCTTTGACCTTTGGAAGAGCAAAGTACCTGCAGGACTGGCCCTCAGCAGACTGCCTTGCAGAACAATGGTCTGTCAGGGCTGACGGTCTACCCACTCCCCTGGTGTCCTCCTCTTCTCTCTGTGGTGGTGCTGTGAGCATAGCTAGCCCTTTAAGTCAGCTCTGTGGCCTTGGGCTCCCCCAGAGGCCCTCCCTGCTTGGAAACCCCTAATTAAGGTGCAGGGAGAAGTGAAAACAAGCAGCCAGAGACAGGCCCTGCCTGGGAGGCTGCCCAGGGAGGAGAAATGGCTGGGCAGGCGGGGAGTGATCACCAAGGGTCAGTGCTCTGCCCCTCAGGCCATCAGCACTCTTAGGACAGGTAGCTCTAGACAGAAACATGACCACTGTGGGTCCCAGGAACACTCCCCTCCACTCGACAAGCGTCCAGACTGGACCTTCCCATCTCCCCTCAACTTCTTCGGATCCCCAGGGTGCAAGATCTGAATTCCAGGAGCTCACTCAGCCCCTCCTTTCTCAGGACTCCACTCCCCAGCCTGTGGACAGCCTTAGCTCTGGCTGCAGCATCGAGTTTCAAAGGGAAAGGATTGGCTCCAGCTGAGCAATGGCTTCTCCCTAGCAGGCGCCATATCCCTTGGGACCTTTCCCTCATCAGAGGTGGAGCCTGTGGATGGCAAAGGTCCCATCCTCTTGTAACATCACCCCGCATCCTCTGTGCCTAATGAACTGCTCTGGCACCCATTAGGAAGCCAGATGATGCCTAAGAGAACTGGACATGAAGAACAGATGTGAGAATGCTTCCTCAAGACCCCGTAGTGCAGGACATTGGGGGCTGCCATTCAGCTTGGGCCGAGGACACCTCCATCTGTCTGTGGGGGTCTCCCTGCCTGAGTTACTCAGCAGTCTGAGTAATTACTGCCTGACAAGAAGGCGGGCACAGCGCACCCCCACATTACACCACAACACCCGCCTTCACTCGTCCCCACCCCCTGGCTGGACTCCAAGGCAGCACCCAGCCCTCCTGACGCCTGAAATAACTCTGCTTCTCACACTCACGCCCAGCCCCAGCCAACGTTTCCTAAGATGCTAGAGTTTGTGGGCTAGGGGGTCATGGGGAGGCGGCCTGGGGAGGTGGAAGGAGGATTATCCCACATTCAGTCCCTGAGTCAGGCCCACACTTTATCGCTGATCTGTGATGTGACGTTGAGCAAGTTGTTCATCCTCTCTGGGCCTCGGTGTACTGACAGAGGACCTCTCAAGCCCCCAGTGTCAGGGCTCAGGCAGGCAGTGGGGTCAGCACTGCCGTGCAGGGGGTGGCTAAGAGAAGGAATGCCTCACCTTCTGTTCCTACCCCAAGAAGGACCAATCCTTTTTCGTTGTTTTTAACTGCTCCTGTGGCCATGGGCAGTGTGCCCAGAGTAGCAGCCATCAATCTTTTTTTATCTTTAAACATTTTTTTGAAATAGATATGGAGTCTAACTATGTTGCCCAGGCTGCTCTCGAACTCCTGGCCTCAAGCAATCCTCCCACCCCAGCCTTCCAAAGTGGTGAGATGATAGGTGTGAGCCCATGGTCCTCAGGAAGGACCAATCTTATTCATCTTCAGAACAAGGTTACTTCTCACCTTCAAGCATCTGCATGGAATGCCCTTCCCCCTTCTCAATGTGGTGAACTCAGCTCTCAAGACCTAACTCCAAGGGCACCTCTTCTGTGACTGTTTCCTGATTATCCCATAGTCCCTGGCAGAGCTAGCAGACCCCTTTCTCAGTCTTTGTGACTTCTGTCAAACTCTAAGTGGTTTGTGGGTCTTTCTTGTCCCACGACACCTGAAGCTTCTGGAAGCCCAAGCCCAGAGCCTTAGCTCAAATCTGAAGCTTCAGTGCCACCAAATGCATGTTTGAGTGAATACATCAGACTAGCCTTCTTTTTTTTTGTTTGTTTTGTTTTGTTTTCTTTGAGACAGAGTCTCGCTCTGTTGCCCAGGCAGGAGTGCAATGGTGTGATCTTGGCTCACTGCAACTTCCATCTCCTGGGTTCAAGAGATTCTCCTATAGCCTCCCAAGTAATTGGAATTACAGGTGCGTGCCACCACACTTGGCTAATTTTTGTATTTTTAATAGAAACAGGGTTTCACCCTGGCCAAGCTGGTCTTGAACTCCTGACCTCAAGTGATCTGCTCAGCTCGGCCTCCCAAAGTGCTGGAATTACAGGTGTGAGCCACCGCGCCCAGCCTGAACTTTTTATTTTTTATTTTTTTGAGATAGAGTCTCGCTCTGTTACCCAGGCTGGAATGCGGTGGCACAATCTCAGCTCACTGCAACCTCTGCCTCCCGGGTTCAAGCGATTCTCCTGCCTCAGCCTCCCGAGTAGCTGAGCCTACAGATGCATGCCACCATACCCAGCTAATTTTTGTATTTTTAGTAGAGACCGGGTTTCACCATGCTGTCCAGGCTGGTCTCAAACTCCTGACCTCGTGATCTGCCTGCCTCCACCTCCCAAAGTGCTAGAATTACAGGCGTGAGCCACCGCGCCCAGCCCTGACCTTCTTTTTGACCTTCCTATCATGTCACCTTTTCCTACAAGGAGGGATTCAATTGGATTTCTGCTTGGATGTCACCTGCTCAGAGCAACTTTCCTTCACTGCCTCCCCTACCCCTGTGTCAGCTTCAGAATAATATTCTGCTTGTTTTCTTCTAAGCACCATCTTCCCATCTTCTCTGGACTTTCCTCATTTGGTCCCTATTAAAATGGAAACTCGGCCGGGCGCGGTGGCTCACGTCTGTAATTTCAGCACTTTGGGAGGCCCAGGCGGTCGGATCACGAGGTCAGGGGATCGAGCCCATCCTGGCTAACGCAGGGAAACCCCGTCTCTACTCAAAATACAAAAAATTAGCCGGGCGTGGTGGCGGGCGCCTGTAACCCCAGCTATTTGGGAGGCTGAGGCAGGAGAATGGCGTGAACCCGGGAGGCGGAGGTTGCAGTGAACTGAGATCCGGCCACTGCACACCAGCCTGGGCGGCAGAGCGAGACTCCGTCTCAACAAAAAAAAAAAAAAAAAAAAAAAAAAAAAAAAAAAAGGAAACTCCTTGAGGACAGGGCAAAGACAGGACTTTTTTGTCTGCTGAATTTTTAGCCACAGTAGTGCCCCACACATGCTGAGCCTTCGGTGAATGTGTGTTGAATGAGAGCCTTGGTCCATCCACTTTTCCTTCCCTTCGAATCCCTCTGATCTCAGGCCAGCAGAGGGTGCCGCCTCCACCCAGGATCTCGCCTGGCCCGAACCTTCTCTTCCCTCAGCCCAACAGGCCCCTGCGGGACTCGCTTTCCAAGGGGCGTCTCCTCTATTTTCCGCGAACCCCTGGAGGGGTCTGTGTGGACCAAGGGAGATCAGAGACCCCCCCCACCCGACCCAGGCGGAGACAGCCCACCCGAGCCCGCACGGGTCCTTCTTCTCCCTGGAATTTGCAGCTGACCCTTCCCGAATGGCTTGCTCCTCTCCTCTCCCCACAAAAGAACAGTGTCCTGGGACTCGGGGTGCGGGGCAGCCGGGTTGGCTGGAGCTGCTCAATGCGGGGAAGAGCCGTCGAGACGGGGAGAAGGGGCGCTGGCCAGGGAGGAGACGGGGCAGGGAGCGCACTCGCGATCCAGACTCTGGGCGGCGGTCCTCGCGTC